AAATACACTGTGTTTTCAGCCCAAGTCCAAATACACAAAATACAGACTTAACATCTAGGGTCCGAAGGAGTTGGGGAGAAAAAAAATTCCGCGTCGCAGAATTCCCGCTCTGTCTGTCGGCGGAACGTGCTGGTTGAAATACAAAGCTGGTGTTACTGTCGGCGGCGGCGTTGTGTTGTAAATGCCACGCTTCTCGTTCGCGATTGCAGAGACCGACATCGACCGTGCGACTGGCCTCAGCCCTCCCTCGAGCGAGGCGCTCGAACTCGAGGCGACTGGCCTCAGCCCTCCCTCGGGCGAGGCACTTGAGCTCGAGGCGACTGGCCTCAGCCTTTCAGCAAGAGAGGCGCTGAAGGCACTGCCGGCGGCGGCACGGCGGGAGATCCTGGAGCTGGTGCTCGCCAGGCAGCCTAGTGCGCCTCAGGTGGCAGTGCCGGCGCCGCCTCCGTCGGCTCCGCTGCCGAATTCGCATACCGCCGCGCCCAAAGCGTTGAGACGCTCCACGTCGGAAGCCGGCCCGCCCCTCCTCGGCCGCAACCGCGCCAACCGCGGCGCGTTCCCTCAACGCCTTGGCGTCGGCGATGGGTGGGCCTCCTCAGCCGCCTCCTCGTGGGCGACCCACGCTCAGCTGCCGCCGCCGCTGCCTGCCGACCGATCTGATTCGCAGGCTGCCTCGGCGGCCACCGCCTTGATCGGGTTCAGCGGGCGCTCGGCGAGCGCCGCCAGCAAGAAGCCCCCAGAGGCCTCGACTCAGCAGGTAGTGGTGCGGAAGAAGCCGCGCTGTGCCAAGTGGACTGAGGAGCTCAAGGCGGCGGTCGGCGGCCCCTTTTTCTGCTGTGACGGCCTCAACGGCAAGTGCACCGAGAAGCGGCCGAGGACCGAGGCGGGGAACTGGGCCAAGCACATGCTCTCCCCGCAGGAGCAGCGCAGCCGCGGCACCAAACGGCGGTTCTGCGGCCAGTGCCGGATCCCAGTCGTCGACGACTAGAGAGCCATGTGTGTCCGACGGGGAGTCGAAAGACGGACACAATCACAAAGCGTCGAAACTCTCTCTGGAGCGAGAGTGTATCATTCAGTGCACATACCACATTCTCATGCGATGGGTGTGCATACGTCTGGAGGCATGTATGCACGGCGCGAGCTAGGGCGAGAGGGGGCTAGCGGCTCTCGAGTGTGTGTTCGTCTCGAGAGTGTGTTCTGACCTCTTATTGCAATAGAAAAAAGTTTAGAGGTTACACGACGCTCGGGCACGCACAGGTGTGTCGCACTGGCCACTCCCCTCCACAAAATTCAAAATAACTGTAAACGTTACCCACCCGACACACCCGTTTACGCACGCGCACCCGCAGCCGCTCGCCGCGCTGCATCATGCATGCGGCACTCGTAAGCCTCTTGTAGGGAGGCGGTACACACAACACACGTACACGTGCCCGTACACAGTCTGCACTCTCTGCGCGCACCAGGCGAGCTCCGCTCCCTCTGAGGCCCTCCTCGCCTATACGAGCGGAGGCTCCTGCAGCATCGCCACGTGCGGCACGAAACGCACGTCGCCAGTCATCTCGGCCATGAACTCGGTGTAGCGACGCCTTGCGCGTGTCCGCTGCACCAGCGCGCCGCCGAAAGCGGCGAGAGCGAGGGCGGCGCACGCGAGGGCGACCGCAGGGAGGCGGGTGCGTGGACCACCGGCCGAAGCCGCTGCCTCCGCCTCCAGGTCGAGGCCGTGCTCCTCTCCATACATCCCATCGACCTTGTAGTAGTACTCGCAGCCTCGGGCCGTCGTGATGCACGCGACGTCCTGCAGACCGCAGTACTGCCACTGTCCTCCGTGCCACGGCGTCGCCACCTTTTGGCACGCGTCCGCCTGCCAGGCAAAGCCCTCGCCGACGCAGTCCTCGCACTTGGCGTGCAGGTGCTCAATCATGCCGGCTTTGGGATCGACGCCGCCCGTGCGTGCCGCAGACTCCGTCAGCGCCACCGCACAATCCAACTCAAAGTCCATGCCGTCTGGCATTTCCCAACGGTGCACGCAGCCCTCGGTCCCAGCACCCAGCGCAGGACAGTGCTCGTAGCCGCAAGCCCCGCCGCCACCGCAGCAGTTGACAGCCTCTGCCTCGGCCGCGTCGGGCGGGCCTCCGACGCGAGCGGGGAGGGTCGTAGCAGCGCCAAAGCCGGGCCGCTGCACGGTGATCTCCGGGCCCGAGGAGACGCGAGCGGGAAGGGTCGTAGCAGCGCCAAAGCCGGGCCGCTGCACGGTGATCTCCGGGCCCGAGGAGACGCGAGCGGGAAGGGTCGTAGCAGCGCCAAAGCCGGGCCGCTGCACGGTGATCTCCGGGCCCGAGGAGACGCGAGCGGGGAGGGTGTTGGCCGTCCCGACCGTAATGAAGGCTGCTTCGTCGCTCACTGGCACGCCGTGCATGGACGACTCCTCCATCTCGCCACACTCTTCTGCTGTGGCATCAAAGACGCACGCGGCCTCGGCGAGGCAGCCGTTGGCGTAATGCAGGCCCTCCTTGCACACGGGCCTGAAGATGCGCGGGCATCGTGCCATTGGGTTTGGGACGCAGGCTGGCGCGGCGGAGGCAATCGCCGCGCAGTAGTAGGCGAACAGCATCATCATGCAACGTGACCACATTCCGTCGCGACAGACGCGTCCTATCGCAGTGGCTGCTCCGAGCTCCTTACCTCAAACTTGGTCGACGTCGCCGTTGTGTACGGATCAATTTTTCTTTTTGCGCGAGTCCTTGAGTGCTCGAGGCGTCCGTGGGGAGGTCGAGGAGGCGGGCGGGCGGCGGCGTGAGCAGGTCGGTGGAATGCAACCCCTGCCTAGACGAGTACAGCTAAAGAGTACCCGGGGCTCCCCATGCGGGAGACCGTGAACATCTTCAGCTTGTGTAGAGCCAGGAAAAGGGTTGGGTGGAATGCGGCGTAGCGGGTGCGGCAGTGGCTGCTGCTGCGGCGGCTGCGAGGCGGCGCGAGCGGCGTGGCTTGGCCTGTACCAGCCTACCAGGTTTCCGCGGTCTCGGGAACCGTACCCGTACTACTCAAAAGTACAATATACTTTCTCACAGCACTAGCGAGATTTCGCGCGGAGGGCGTAGTGAAGCGCTGGGGCGCTCACTGTGTGTTATTCGGGTGGGGATCCATCAGTGGTAACCGGCTTTAGTCACAGATCCAAGCTCAGACGCCACACCAACACCACAAACACGCTCACTTCGCCGCTGCTGTAGATGGGCCCCCGGGGGCCCATAGCCATACTACGTCGAAGTACGGACCCGATCTCGGCACTCACGGGCTGTCACGCGCCCGCGCGCGGCGCGGGCCGCACCGCCCATGCCCCCGGGTCACTGACCCCGCCTCTCGGCCCTCTCGGCCCTCAGGAGCGTGCGGGAGACCGGCGAGGGGCGCGCCGCGCGCCGCCTGCAGAGCCGCCAGAGGCATTGTCGCCTCCGCTGGCGGGGTTCCCGCGCGCGCCCGCCCGCGCCCGGACCCGCGCCCGCTGCGCCCGCGGGCTCCGGATGCGCCGCCCTCCGTCTCCTTCTTCTCGATGGCAGTCCGCACGTGCTTGTCGACGGGTCGGCGGCGTGGTCGAGGGGAAGGTCGCCGGCGGCCGCAACTCCGCCGCCGTCGCTCCGCCGGCTCTGATCGAGTATCGGGCGTTGAGGGCGGCGGCGCAAGCGGATCTGGCGCATCCATCGCCACGAGCCTCGCGACCGCGGTCGTGGCACACCTGGCGGCGGCTCTCGGGGCCGTCTCTACGGCGCTCGACGCCGTGTGAGGTCGCCGGCGGCCGCAACTCTGCCGCCGTCGCTCCGCCGGCTCTGACCGAGTATCGGGCGTTGAGGGCGGCGGCGCAAGCGGATCTGGCGCATCCATCGCCACGAGCCTCGCGACCGCGGTCGTGGCACACCTGGCGGCGGCTCTCGGGGCCGTCTCTACGGCGCTCGACGCCGTGTGAGGTCGCCGGCGGCCGCAACTCTGCCGCCGTCGCTCCGCCGGCTCAACCGAGTATCGGGCGTTGAGGGCGGCGGCGCAAAGTGGGTCTGGTGCGCCACACGGCCACAACCCTTGCCACCGCCCTTGCCGCCGCCCTTGCCACCCTTTGCCGCCTTGCCTACGCCGCGGGCGGCGGTGAGAGCGGCCTGCTGGGCTAGCATGTTGTCCTTGCTGGGGACGGGCACGTGGAACGTTATATGTTCGAACGGCCTCCGGGATTCAAACAAAAAATAGTCCAGGCCCTCTCGCAACCCCTCCGACCCCCTGGGACCCGTGGGCGTCGAAGAGGCGCTCTCGGGGGGCCGTTCTGAGTTCATACTACCTCGAAGTACAATATACTGCGTCAAAGCACCGGCCCTGAGTCCGTCCGGCAAAAAGGAAAACAGAGGGTCCCCAGGCCCAGCACTCTGCGTTTCCGGAAATTTCCAGGGAAAACAGAGGGTGCAGGAAGGTGCTCCATTCTGGAAACTCGCGAGTTTCCCTGAGTCTGAGTACTGAGAGCTGGTCTGGGGCAAAATCTGAGGCAAAATTGAGGAAATCGACAAAATACCCAGGCGGTCGCAGGGTAAATTCCAGGTATACACGGGTTCTCCGCAAAATTCCCGGCATTTTGCCGATTTGGCCTAAAATTTGGCTGATTTTGGGCCCAAACCAGCCTCAGACTCGGCTCGCAGAGCCCAAAATTTGACGATTTCCACGGTGCACGGCGGAGTTTTCCCGGGAAAATAGAGAGGAAAAGAGAGTGTAGGAAAAAAGGAAAGGAAAACAGACGCGAGACGGGGTGCGAGAGGAAAACCTGGCACAGCCTAAGGCGTGGCGCGCGGGTCGGTGTTTCTTCCATGTGTGTACTTGTTTGTAAATCCAACGGGACCCGGAAAAGAAAGAAAAGAGACAAACCAAGGGACAGGACACACACGCGGGGAGTCATAAAATTCTTATTTCACGAGTGGGCAGCTCAGGACAGCGTGCGTTGTGTGCTCCCCTTTTCGAGGCAGCTCCCCCGCGGGATGGCGTGGGCGTCGCGGCGCAGTTCTGCCGTCCAGCCGGCAATCGCCATCAGCCCCGACGGGAGTGCACTGTTTGTGGCGGACCTCGACAACCGCAAGATCCGGCGGGTGGAGGTGGCGACGGGCGCTGTGACGACGCTCGCGGGCAGTGGCACACCAGTGGCCTGCCCAATTGGCATCGCCATCAGCCCAGACGGGGGCGCCCTGTTTGTGGCGGACCATGACAACCACAAGATGCCGACGACCCTCGGGATCCGAGCTCGGAATGCAGAAAGAAAGAAAACGGACAACCCAAGGGAGGGATGGGAGGACGGCACGCCGCCACCACACAGGGATTTTAAGGAGAGGGGTGTGGTGCACTAGCCGTCGCCCACCCTTGGGCGTCCGCCTCTTCCTATCTCTCTTCGCAGTCTCTCTCCGATTCTCGCTGCGACCTTCGTGCCACCTCGCGGTCGCCCCCTTCTCGTCGTGCTCTCCCTTGTCGCTTCTTCCTCTGTCGTGTCGCTCTCGGAATGCGACCTGTGACGTGTGGGCGAAAAAATTCTTTATTCCAGTAGGCCGCTCACGACGGCGCGCTCATGCCCTCGCGTACGGCAGGCACCGAGCTGACAGCCGCGTCAACCTCGGACGCCCGAGACTGCGCCGTGTTTGTCGACGGCGAGGAGCTCCCGTCCACCAGCAAGCCTGGCGGCGACGGTACCGCGGCATCAAACATCTACATTGAGGTCGATCTCTCGACACAGGCCGCCGAGACGGCCGCACGCAGACGCGATCCCTTCCCGGGGCAGCTGGACGCCGCGCCTACGGCAGGCTACACGACCGTCCGCGGCGTGCTCTCGAGCAGGTACATGCTCTCGCAGGTCCTCTTCAACATGGTTGGCTCGGCCACCGGGCCTCTGCTGTGCTTCTACCTCCTCTTTGGTGTCATATCCACGGGCCCGTACAGCTGGGACGCGCCCGAGGTGCGCCCCTCTCGATTGCCGCCCCGCCCCCACCACCAAGCCCCGCAGACCCCTCTCGAACGCCGCACCAGGTCATCGGGCCGATCCTGGGCTCGCCCTTCTTCGCCTCCTTCCTATGCCCGCTGCTTGCGCCGGCCGGCCTCCCCGAGGCGACGGCCTGGGGCTTTGCCAAGGTCCCTCTCACCGCAACCGCGCGCTACGCGCGCCTCTTCCCGTTCCTGGGCACGCACCCCGCCTGGCGGCACTCGCTGCTGCGGCACATGCTTGTCGGCGCGCAGGTGTCGGTCCTCGCCTGGCCGACGGCGCTGCTCTTTGCGCGCTTCGTCCTCGGCCCGACTCTCTCCACCTGGACGCAGATCCTGGGCGGCGTCGGCTACTGCGTGCTGCTCGCGCCGCCCATCACGCTGCTCGCGCTGCTCTCGCTCGCGGTGGAGCCGCATTATGCGCGCGCCGTCGACGGACTCTCCTTCGACCCGAGCCCGTGCAGGCGGCTCTGGCTGCGGGTGGGCTGGTGCCTTCGCCTGATCTGGTGATATTTGCGGGAAACCGCGCGCTGAGGTTAATACTGTCATCTGTCACCACACCTCTCGCTCTCTCCTCACTCCTGTGAGCACTTTCGTGTACTCTCCACGTGTGTTTTGCGTATGTGTGTATCGTATGGGCGTTTGCGAACGTTTGCATGTGACTGTATCACGACCCCGAGGCCACCCGTCCCCACCACGAGGTCCCCACTGTGCACTCTGACGTCTGGCGACTGCCGGCTGGCCGTGGGCGTGGCCCCTACCTCCAGCCTCTCGCGACGTATTCAACACATAGGCACAGGCGTGGGACTCAGCGCCCTGCATGTACACCTCTCCAGACTCCACACACGGCGGCAGCTTGCGCATCGGGACCAAGGTTCGGCGAGGGTGTTAGACAGTCACGCGAGCAAAGCGCAGCACGGCTCACGCCCCCTTGCTGCTGCAAGCGACAGGCTTGCCAAAGGCGGCGAAGAGGCGCGAGGCGGCCCGCTCGAGCGGCGGCGCGAGCTTCAGCAGCCTGTCGACATTGATCGTCGGGGCCGCGTAGTTGGTTGTCAGCTTGCGATGGTGGTCAAAGTGATCGGCGGTAGAGACGCCGATCCACGGGACGAGGCGGTGGGAGAGAGATTCGAGCCACGGCGTGTGGATCAGGTTGTTGATGTGCCCGATGGCGAGACCCGCGACGGCGATCGTCTCCATCGGAACGGGCTGCATCAGGACGCCGGCGATGATGAATGGGATCAGATAGGCGAACATGTACTCGACTTGCGTGACGGCCGACGCGGCGATCGGGCAGATGTGGACGTTGAAGCGGTGGTGATACTTGTGTGCCCAGTAGAGGGTCTTGGTGTGCATGGCTCGGTGCGTGCAGTAGTACCCTGCCGAGTGGATGGCGACGCAGCTCGCATAGTGCAGAACCCGCTCCGCCGGAGTGAACTGGATCGAGGGCGAGGCGAAGAGCCGCACGCCGACCGCGTAGACAATGGGCGCGAGCATGCAGTGGTTGACGACGTTGTACAGCCACGCCTTGGCGTACAGCTCCACGCCGTTCTTGGACTTGAGGATCGAGCGAACGGTGTCGACGACCGTCAGCTCGAGCAGCGCAGCGGCGAGGAATATGGAGCCGGCGACGAGGAGGCCTTCGTAGAGGAGCTCCTGGGTGGTCGGCCACTCTGCTTGCGCGCGTGTGTATCGGTCGATGGTGGCGTTGCTCGCGTACAGGAAATCCATCAGTGTTCGTAGCACACGTTGGCACGGGATGGAGGTCGATCTTCGGTCCGGCCAGCGCCGCGAGTTCGTTGTCGAGATGATTTCGACGATCGCATTCTTTTTTAACTGTGATAAAGTTCTTCTGAGGGCGCAGGATGGCGCCTAGGAACCCTACTTTCACGTCGTCTGGGCCGGGGACGACGCCAAGAGATTTTGTCGATGCCTGTCTCCTATACCTATGCATTGAAGTGTGTGACTGTCCGTTCCGTGGCAGACATTTGAGAGAGAGATTTTTAGCAATACCAAACAACTCTAACACTCACACGTAATTTGGGGCCTGGAGCCCACCCGGGGAGTCTGCCTCTTCGTATCTCTTTTCGCAGTCTCTCGCCGCTTCTCGCTGCAACCTTCATGCCACCTCGCGGCCGTCCCACTCTCGTCGGTCTCTCCCTTGTCACTTCCTCCTCTGTCGCGTCGTTCTCTTCTGCCTCGTCCTGCGGCGCCGCCGCCTGCCGGTCCCTTGTTCTCGCGGCTTCTTTCGCCTTTCGGCGCAACTCCGTCCTCCTCGCGGCGTATCCTGGCCCCTCGAGTCTATCGAGCTCCCCTCGCGCAAGGACCACATTTCTGACTCCCACTCCAATCATTTGCCGCCAAGTCATATCGTTGCTCAGGTCCACTCTCTCTTCGAACACTCGTGCCTCTACGGATGATGCCGGCGCTGGGGTCCCCTTCGGATGCATCGTGACATCTGACAACTGAATTTCCACTGGTTCGTCCTCCTCTGAGTCATCTTCCCCGTCCTCCTTCCGCTCGGCTCTTCGCTCGGTACGTTCGGTGTGGCTCACCCTCCATGCCGTGAACAGGCGCTTTATCCACCCTATCTATATTCTTCTCTCGTTCCTCTGCCCGTGCCTTGGTCTTGTCGTTGTTTCGCACCCATGTCTGTATGGCAATCGAGGCTGCCTTCCCCACTACCTGTAGTTCACTCGTCACCTCTCCCGCGAGCTCCCTTCTCTTTCTTTCGGGTATGGAGTCCGTGAGTGCGGGCAGCGTGCAGGCAATCACGGGCGCTATTTTGTCGTACTCCTCTTCGGCGAGCGCTCCAAATCTAGACCCTTTCGCCTTTAAGGAGGCTGCCCTCGCTCGTCTCAGGAATGTGGCGGTGTCTTTTGAGTCCGGCGCCTCCCGTTCAACTCTTGCTGTCGCCCTCGCTGTGTGTTTGTTGTCCCGTTCACTGAATACCAGCATGCATCTTCCTTTTTTGGTGCCCGCGCCGCCTAGCTCTGCGGACGGCCCCCCCACCCTTCGTTGTCATGTGAGACTGCCTTGTGTTCTTAACTCTCGTTCTCTCTCCTTTTGTCTCCACATCCTTCGCACACGATGTCGCTCCCCGACGTCAAGCCCACGCCCAAGGCCGCCGAAGAAATTCCGGCAGAGGGCTCCTCCGATCAGCCCCACCGCCAAGTCCGCCGCCGGCGCAAGAGCGGCGAGGTGCTCATGGCGAGGCAGGCGACCGTCGGCGCTGGCCTGAATCAGCTCGATTCAATGATTGGCGAGATGTACGACATCAAGCGGGCGACTCTTCCGACCACAAGGTCAGTGGGACACCGCTCAGCCGCCTCCTTTCTGCTGACCTCGGCGCTCGTGCTGGCGCTCAGCGTGCTGCTTCCCATGGTCACACACCCACGCGAGCTGCTCGAGGCCGCGGGCTGGCAGCCGTCGGTGTGCGACGACTCATGCGTGCACGCCAACGACGGCGCGTGCGACGACGGCGGCGCCTGCCGGGACGGCTCCGACTGCGGAGCATGCGGCGCCCGCGAGGCGTCCCTTCCGGTCCCGAGCTGGGCGGTCATCGTCGCCTCACTGGTGTCAATTGCCGTGCTCTCGCTCGGCGTGAGCACGGTGGGCGAGATGGCGCGGTCTGCTGGCGGCTCGTGGGGGCGCGTGCCGCTGACGGACGCCACGCTGGGCACGGCCGTGCTCAACAAGTTTGCAAACAGCGCGCAGGTGCGCGAGAAGGGGCTCAAGGTGCTGCAGTACGTGCTCAAGGCAGGCGCCTACTCGCGCCTCTTCTCTGCGGGCCTGACGAAGCAGCTCAAGGACCTCTCCAAGGCAACCTCGACCGCGCGCCGCTTCTTCAAGTTTTGCCGCTGGGTCAAGCACTTTGAGGACCGCGTCCTAGACACCTCTAGACACCTCCTTGTCACTTCCAAGACACCTGTCACTTCCAGACACCTCAGGGCACTGGCACTAGGACAGGGCCGCCGCGATAGCCCACACTCACCCTCGCCTCACCTCCACGCTCCTCGCCCGACCTCAGGACCTGAGCGAGGCGCGCGATCAGAGCGACCGCGTGATGCGCCTCCTGCTGTATTTCCGCGTCGCGGCCAACTTCGGCGCCGACTGGGCGGAGGATGTCTGCTCGCTCGAGCGCGTCGGCATCCTGCCCGCGGGCACGCTGAGCGTTGAGTTCATGCTCTTCGCAGAGTACTGCCAGCTCGCGCTCGCCCTCGTCGAGATTTGGGTCACGTCGGCCCGGGCGAGAAGGGAGGCCGAGCTGTCGCTGCTCGCCGAGGAGGCGGGCGTCGCCGCGCCCAAGCTCCTCTCGCAGCAGCGCAAGCTCGCCCTCGTGCGGCTCGAGCTGGTAAAGTTCGTGTCAGACGTCGGCAAGGCCATCTTTGACTGCGAGCTCTACTTCGCGCACGAGGGTGTCTTCATTGGCTGCGCTCTCTTCTCCGGCATCCTCTCGACGCACAAGAACATGTTCAAGATTCTGAAGTGAGCGGCGGGGGCGTGATCCATGTCTTGACGTACTGCCGACATCGGCCCGGCGACGCGCCGCCGCCGCTCTTGTGAGGCTTGGAGCTGATCAGGCGGTGCGCTTGAAAGACGTCGAGGGAATTCTGTCAACCCCTTCCTAGACGAGTACAGCTAAAGAGTACCCGGGGCGAACCAGGAACGATACGTCATGCGCTAGGTCATGCGATGGGGACCTGTTCCTTTTTACCACCTCACAGTGTAATAAATGAAAACGGACACCTCTCTACTGTGAGATGGGTAAAAAGGAACAGGTCCCCGCCCTTGCGATCTTTGTGCAGGGTTCTTTGTAAATAAATAAAACGGACACCTCTACTATTAGGAGATGGGTAAAAAGGAACAGGTCCCCGCCCTGCGGTCTTTGTGCAGGGTTCTTTGTGGGTGTGGTCGGCGACTAGCCGGGGTCGTCCTAGGGTTCTTTGTGGGTACAGAGAGGTGTCCGTTTTATTTATTTTGGGGGGCGCCCGCCAGGCGTCCCCACTTTTGTATCACAGCTGCGAAGAGCTGCGAGGGCCAACCAAGGGATTCGGAGCGGTCAGATTGGTATCGAGCGGTCAAATAGGTACCTGGGCCGCAGGCCGGCGCGCAGCGCCACGCCGCAGGCGTCCGCCGGAGGCCCGCCGGAGGCTCTTGCTGCGGCCACATTCTGGCAAGATTTCACCTGAGAGACCTGTCCATCTGCACCGCTGTCCGCTGTCTCAGCTGTCTGAGTCTGTCCTTTTCTTTCTTGACGGTGGTGTGCCGGTGATAGTACTAGCACGCGCCAGTTCGCACCTGTGTCGAGCCTGTGTGCTGTGAGAGAGAGTTGTCTTGTTTAAATTCTTTCTTGAGCACTTGAAAGCACTGGATAGGATCGATTCCGCATGGTACGGGACCACTCGATCGTCTCGGCTCTCGCCCTCCCTCGCTAACGCTATCGCAGCGCACTCCCACTCGCCGTCTCCGTCTGTGAGCCTAGCGCAGCGGCCAGCGCGAACTCGCCGTCTGAGCCTAGCGCAGCGCGAACTCGCTCTGAGCCTAGCGCAGCGCCTCGGACATCACCATTTTGGCTCGCCAACAAGCCCTCCGCGCCCCCACACCGTTAGGATAAGACTTTTTTTCTTTTTTTCGGGGGGCCATGTCGCTCTACTGTGCTGATGAGCTACGAGCTCGTATGCCACTTCGCCGCCTGTGTTTGGGTTTCTATGTTTGCGATTTGGACTTTACTGTTTTTCTTTTTCCCTCTTTTTTAGTAGGGAGCTAGCCTTGCCATACCGTCCGCCTTGCGAGCGTGCTCACGCACGATCCTGGGCTCGTGCTTACACGCGGTCGCAGCGTCATCAAGCCGCAGTGCTCGATCTTTACCGGTATGAGACCGGTATTTGGCGATATTTTGATTAGTTTTGGAGTGGTATGGTATAGTGGTACGCGAAAGTGGTATGCGGGGGTTTCATTAGTTGTAGCGGCTGTCGGTGTTGCCCCGGGGGCGAAACCATGCAAAAGTGCGGGTATTACCCGGGTATACCCGGGTTTTTCCAGGTATACCCGCAAAATACCCGGTATTTTGCCGATTTTGCCGATTTTGCCACCAAGAAGGCACTCCGACTCGCTTTGATTTCCGTGAGGCAACTGGTATCCCGTACCACTTTTTGATTAGTTCAGGCCTTGGGTTTGATTAGCCAAAAACTCCCAACTTTTCTTCATATCTGGGGCCTCCGGCGCCAGTGCGAAGTCTAGTCGCCTACGGGCACGCCCTCCGGGCATACTCCGAACTCCCACACGCCAATACACGCGCGGCCGGCGCCTCTCATGCCCTTCACCACGCACACCGCGTGAAAACTGCGCGTACGTCCCCGCGCGCACGCAAACACGCGCAGCGCAAATTCTGAGCTGTGCCATGTGCGTCTGCCCTGTGCTGGCGCCCCATGGCCGTCCCGCGCCGCCCGCACCAGCCACGCGCCCCTCGCACCACCAGAGCAAGCCGCATATCCACTCACGCCGCGACGCGCGCGCCGCAGCACACCTCACCAGCACTACCTCGCCTTTTTGCGCCCTGTGCAGGCTCTGCACACTGCTTCTGGCATCTCACAAGCGGCTGTACCAGGACGCGCCGCGGTACGACGCAGACTCTGCACCACGCAAGGCGCGCACGCACGCACGCACCCGCACGCGCGCTCATCCACTCAGGCTTCTGCACAGCTTGTCAGCCTGCCTGCACACACAGCATTCTGAACATTCAGCCCGCGTGCTCCGCACTGCGCCCCTGCCGCCTCGCGCCCGTCTGCACTGCACGAGGCGCGCGCGTGGCACGCTGCGCGCACGCACGCCCGCACGAGAGCGCGCGCGCGCTCATCCGCTCTCTGCTGCACAGACCGCCAGCCTGGGGCCTGCACACACAGCATACAGCACCATGGGCACGCAAAGGCCCGGGTTCGAGTTTATCTCGGACATGTTTTTGGCCACACAAAAAGGTCACTGTGAGAGTCGTGATTTCTTGTTGAAAAAACGAGAAACTATTTATCACCTTTAACAAACAGCGACGACCAGCAGCGACGACCAGCAGCAACGACCTAGAGCAGCGTCCTGCCGAGTGTGTGTAGCACCGACGCAGACGCACCCCAGGCACTACACTACGACGGCTAGGCAGACCTCACCAGTCCGATAAGGATCAACTGGAAGGTTGAACCTCGAGCTTAGACAGAACGGGCGCGACAGACTCCAGGGGAGATCGCGCTCTACTCGGGGCACCAAGGAGGAAAACCGAAACCGTTTGGGTGCCCCACAACAACCCAAACGCCACAACCCAAGCGTCACACCTCCCCCCCACGTCCCCCCCCCCTTGGGGACGTAGCGCACGCCCTTGCTCGGAGAGAGTGGGGGGGGAGGGGGGGTGGGGGAATAGGAGGAGCCAACGAGCACGGAGTAAGGTCCACAGTAGAGAGGCCGGCATTTAAGGCGTAACTTCACCCTCGCTCACCTCGAGTATATCTAGGCGCCCTGGTGCAGTCGGTCTTCGGATCAGCGGCCAGCTTCCCATCTAGGGCAGGGAACCCCCAGCGACGCTAGTGTGGCCTACGGTAGCCATAGCTTGTACGCGATCCCGGGGCAGGGGGGTGTGGACTCTGGAGCTCCAAGAGAGGATAGAGAGAGGAAGGGAGATTGGTGTGCCGGTTTTTTGAGCTAGCAATTTTTTTTTTTAGCCAAAAACTCCCATACCGGTAAAGATCGAGCACTGCATCAAGGCTCCACGCCACGACAGGTCCGGCCGGACCATGCCGGGTGGCGTCCTCGCAACATCTGGAGAGGTGGGCAAGGCCTCTGAGGAGGCGTACGGCGTGCTGACGGTGAGCAACAAGATCGCTTCCGCGGCGCCAAAGCGGCGTGCGCGCGGCGGCAAGGCCAGCCGCGCGCGCCGGCTCGAGAACTTCCGGCAGCACAAGGCTGCGGCACCTGCGGCTGCTCCTGCGATCAAGTGGGAGCAGCTCGCCCACGGCCTCTTGCGTCAGCAACGCGCGACTCTGCGCGACGGCGCTCGAGCGGCCTGGGTGCGCATGCGCGCCGCCCGCGCGAAGATCGGCGCGGCGGTAGAGCAGACTGCGCATGTCGATGCAGCAGGAGGTTGCCACCCATCAGGCTCTCACACCACAGCACAGGCGCCGTCGAGCTCTCGCAGCCGCGCTGCACAATGCTCCAGCTCAGGAGGGCCCCCTGCTTCTCGCAGCTTTGTGCAGCGCAACGAGCGGGCAGCGCTGCACCAGGCGGACCCACGGCGTGCTCAGCGAGCCGCGAGGCGGAGGCAGGCCGAGTGAGCGCGAGCCGCATCGGCGCCCATGTCCCGCGCAGCGGCGAGCGAGCGGCACGGAGGAGTGCAATGTCGCGCATTGCGAAACGGTTTCTGCGAGTTCACTTTTCTACCTGAGCACTTGGAGCACTTGGAGTGCAGTCATCCAGGGCCGGGGAGCTCTTGGAGCACTTGGAGTGCAGTTATCAACCTCACATCCAGGGCCGGGGAGCTCAGAAGCGCACCCAGCGGGCCGGATGATCGGGATCGGGTTACGGGCTAGAGAGCCCTAGCCCCGGGGGTGCGCGTTCGCAGGGAAAGGGCCGTAAAGTAAACACTGGTCTCCGAGGGTTGGTTCCGTGTACCGGGTTTCCCCTTAACTTCAGAACGCCCCCTCTACACGGAGCTAGTAGACACGACGCTGTGTACACCACGCACGTACACAGGTCCTCACTCAGCATCCCGTCCCAGGGTTCCACTGCCCGACTTCCCGGGGCTCCGGTTCTCCCTGATTCGCTCTTTTATTCGCCAGCCGAGCGTCGCCTGACGGTCGCTGTAGCCGTTTCTGATGTCTCTTCTTTGGCCGAGGTCTCGCCTCCGCTTCACCTCCGACTGGTACCGCAGCCTCCGAGAGCGTCGACGGCCCGGCCGGGGTCTCCCCGGGCGAGGACGGCGGCCTTAGATCGTGTCGCCACCCCTCCCAGGGAGGTCGAGCCCGCTCTCCCTGGTCGGCGAGTCGTGCCCGCACTCGTGGCCTCTCTATCGTCCCTGGCTCGCCCCCCCCCTCCGCCGGCTCCTCTCCAGGCTCGGGGAGGCGTGGCCCTCCCTGTCGAAGGTCGTGGTGGTCCGGTTGCCACTGCGGCTGGCCTTCCTTCGGTGAGCCCGTACGTCCCGACTCCACTCTCAGAGGCCGCGTTAGCTCATCTCTCACCTCCTCCGACAACTGACCCCAAGCCCCCCCTCGGGTCCTCCGGCCTCGGCTTTCCGGTTCGCCGGCGGGTCCGCTATCAGCTCGGATGCCTCTTTTTTTGTCGACAGCAACCCCGCCATGTCGCTCGATGTCGCTGAGTCGGCGCGTGTGCTGCTGCTGACAGGCCCAATCTGACTGACGGTGCGAGAGCGCGGCCTCGACATGGCTGCGGCGTCATCCGTCGATCATGGCGGAACCGCGCTGGCGGCGGCTCTTGTTGCCGCCTATGTAGGTCTTGTGCTTGGGCTGAGGGCGGACTTCGAGCGTCACTTTGGAGAGCAGGTGGAAGGGTACTTTGCAAACGGCGCGCCGCGCTGGCGCTGCGCGCTCGGCCTCCCGACGCAGGTCGGCACCCTCCCGCTGCTCCTTGGGTGCGCTGTGGTGGCCCACCGTTTTGACGTGCAGCGGTGGGGCGAGCGGACCTCTCATGGCAAGCTGTGCAGCGTGGGCGAGCGGGCGTTTGTCGCCGTCTTCCCCGCGTTCCTCCTCCTCGACTGGCAGATCTGCGACGTCCGCGTCCTGCTGGCGGCTCACCACGTCGTCTGCCTCGCCGGGCACGCCTGCGCCGTGCTCCTGTCGGCGGGCTTCCCCTGAGCGGCATCGCGTTCCCTTCTCGGAGCCGTCCACCCGCCCTCCTCTTCTCCCATAGGCGGGCTTCCCCTGGTATTTTCTGGGCGTGTGCGCCCTCGAGCTCGGCTCGGCCAGCTGCAACCTCTTTTGCCTCTATCCCTCCTCGCCCACGCTCTTAGCCCTGTACGAGGTCGCCATGAGCGCCTCGAACCTCGCCGCCCTCGTCTGCGCGTGGCGGTGGGTCGCCGCACTCGACGGGATCGATGCGTCTGTGTCTCGCCGCCGGCTCTGCCAGGCCTTTGGCGCGCTGCTCTCGCTGCTGCTGGTAGCGGCCAGGCAGTGGGAGACAATCAAGGCGCACCGGCACCACAGTGGGGCGCTTGCGCCTTGAGCCGCGGGGATGCGCGCCGTCTCGCGCTGCACGCAGGCTTGGGTCCCTTTCAGAGGCGAACCGAGGACGCGGTTTTGCTGCTCGATTTTTTGCTGCTCGATTTTTGCATGCGCGCGGGGTTTTTTCGCTTTTTGCCATTTTCCAACACGCCGCCAAACCTTTTTTATTTACGTATACGTGTGTTGCTGTATGTTGTTTGTCGGTGCGTGCGTGCAATCAGCAATGCGTCCCCCTTAATTTTGCTGGTGGTGTCTTTTTCGCTGGTGGCGTGATAGAATTTGCTGATGATATGACACCCGCTCGCGCGCGATTTCGTGGGGCCCGACTCCCAGAGACAGCCCTCCCCGGGCCAGGGCGGCTCCGCAACACCCTCGCGGCCCCGGCGCCGCCTCTGGCTCTCTCATGGCGGCGTCGTGTACGCCACGACCAGCTTCCACTGGCCCATCGTGAGCCCGTCGAGCTGGTCCTTTGCGGCGGCGGCCGAGGCGATGTTTGTCAGGTTGACCTGCGCGCCCTCGCCCGGCTTGATCTGGATCGACTCGACCTCGCCAAACTGGCGGAAGAGGGCGCCGAGCTGGTCGGCCGAGGTTGCGTCCGAGATGTTGCGCACCGCGAGGTGGCGCGAGGCGCCGTGCTCGCGCACGAGGCGCAGCACGTGCGGCTCCACCGGTCCGGGCGCCTTTGCCCAGTTGAGAAAGATGCGGTTGCCGCGCAGGTGCGGCTGCTGGGCCTGGCCAGACTGCCAAAACGCGTAGGCGTCCTCGTCGCGCAAAAAGTTGAGGAAGCCGTACGAGGCGCCCATCATCATCCGCATCGACTCGAGCGGCCCGAACCCGCGCCCGAGCGACGCGATCTCCTGCGGTGCGGCGGGGCGCGTGCGGTGGGGCGCGCGTGCGGTGTTGGCGGGGGGGGGGGGGGGGGTGCCCGGCGCGCGGGTCGTCGGCGGCGCGGTGTTGGCGTGGGCGTCGGCGGCGGTGTGGGTGAGGGTGCGTGGTGCGAGAGAGAGAGGAGCGCGCGCCTCCATCGTCGTCCCGACGGGCAAGTTGCCCACGTACACAGAGCGCGACGCCTGCAGGTTGCGCGGGTCGGGTTTGCCGCCCGCCATCCCGCCCATCCCGCCGCCGCCCATCATGCCGCCGCCCATCCCGCCGCCGCCCATCATGCCGCCGCCGCGCCCGCCGCCCATCATCATCCCGCCGCCGCCGCCCCGGCCGCCGCCCGCGCCGCCGCCGCCGCCCGGCCGCGAGTTGCGAGCCGGGGAAGAGAAGGTCACCTGCACCGGCGCCGACGCCTCCGGTGCGTCGGCGGGCAGCGACGGGCACAAATCGCGGCCGGTGGCGCCGTCCGCGTACCGCTTGTGCGCGGCGACGGCGGCCTCGACGTTGCAAAAGTTGATGTAGCCCGTCGCCTGTGGGGAGGGCCCGAGGAGAACTGTCAGGGAAAGCTCCACCGGGTGCCGCAAGGGGCTGCTCGCAGCGACGCCGTCTGCCGCAGCACGCGGATCGACTCGATGGGGCCGAACTGCGAGAAGACCGCGTTCAGCGCGGCGAGCTCGGTCGCGGCGGGCAGCGGCACCAGCTGCAGGTTGCGCGTGGCGCCGGCGC